TGGATCTCTTCCAATCAGTCAGCCAGATAGTTGTCTTCCAAATTTCTTGGCAGAGATGAGTGAGTGCCTCCTGTGCTGCCTCACTTTCTTGAAAGATATCAATTTTTATTCCATCATAGAATCCAGAGGTAGCACTTGTTTTTGTTTGTTTTTTATTATTAGAGATGTGTTTTCTCTGTATCAGAGTTGAGGTCTGATACAGAAATGTACCCAACACAAGAGTTAATACTGAGGGGATCTAATGTTTAGCCACCTTGTCGTATTCTTGAAGGATAGGAAAGATAAAACCTTAGAATACATTTTCCAAGCCCAGTGTTTCTTTGATGAGCAAGTTACCGAGCATAGAATTCCACACAGTTGAGTTCATGTCTTTACTGTCTCCTCAGCTTAGATGCACCCTCCATCCACTACCTGGAAGGCTGGCTAAAATGTCACCTCCTTCATGAGGCATTTCTGCCAGTGCCAAGACTGCCTTTCGTCAGCACACCCCTCGAATTTGTCCCACAGGGCTTCTGAAACTGTTCCATAGTCCAGTCATCAGCTTGTGTTTCTGTCTCCTCAGCTGTGGTGCTCATTCCTGTTTCTCTAGATACTGTGTCAGGCACAGCACCTGGCTCCCAGGAGCAGTCACAGAAATGGATGTTGTCCTTTGAGATCATGACCCTGATGAACAGGATATGAACCTTGAAAATTATGAGACCTTTTCTCTGGATATAACCCTATACAGGGTCACTATGAGTCAGAACTGACTCGACAGCACTTCACAACAACAAAAAGTTACAAGGTGAAATTTTTTTTTTTTTTTACTACTATTCTAATTTTTTTTTTTTAAGTAAAAACACTGCATTGTGCTACTCCTAGAAGCCCATTCTTCTCTAGCTGTGTAAATACTAGCTAGACACTAAAACTGTGGTATGCAAGCTACTTTCATCTTATATGGATTTGACAGACCAACCAACCCTCAATAATTTGGCCTAAATCGTGTTGAGTTTATTTGAACTAGTGATTATTTTATGTACCAAAAAAAAAATTTAGTTTTTAGTAGAAATTCTGATCTACAATATCATAAAGACTAGATAAAACTCATCATTATCATCATTGTATGAGGGCCTGCAAAAAGTTTGTGGAAAAATAGAATTAAAAGATAATGGAGGCACCATGGCATCTGGCTGCAAGATTGGCCTATCCATCCTCAACAGCAACCTGGCCAATTTAGGGGGTGAAAGCCTGTGGATGCTGGACTCTGGTGCCGATTATCTGCACCTGGGTGTAATGGATGGGCATTTTGTTCCCAAGATCACCTTTGATTACCCTGTGGTAGAAAGTCTCCGAAAGCAGCTAGGCCAGGACCCTTACTTTGATTTGCAGATGATAGTGTCCAGGCCAGAACAGTGGGTAAAGCCAATGGCTATTGCGGGGGCCAATCAATATACCTTTCATCTTGAGGCTAGTGAGAACCCAGGGGCTTTGACTGAAGACATTCATGAGAATGGAATGAAGGTTGGTCTTGTGATCAAACCAGGAACTACAATTGAGTATTTGACACCATGGGCTAATCAGATAAAGATGGCTTTGGTCATGACAGTGGAACCTGGCTTTGGAGGGCAGAAATTCATGGACGACATGATGCCCAAGGTTCCCTGGCCATGACACTATCCATAAGTGTGCAGAGGCAGATGCTAACATGATTGTGTCTGGCAGTGACATTATGAGGAGTAAAGACACCAGATGGATCATCAACTTGTTAAGAAATGTTTGCTCAGAAGCTGCTCAGAAATGCTCTCTTGATCGATGAAAGCTCAACCAGCCCAGTGTTTCTGCTCATGAAACCTCCATTTTAACTGGAAAACAGGAATGTTGACTACCAAATCATACCACTGTTTAGGCAGTGCTGCTTTTCTAAGCAATTATTCATTCCAATGACTAAAATTTATAGTGAAGAATGTTCTAAAAGGGTATTGGTGTTTATATTTTACCTACATTTTTAGTGATGAGACTTAAAGATTAGTGTGGTAAATACCCAGTTTTTACTGAGACTGGGTTTTTATAAAGAGTGAAAAAAAAAAAAAAAAACTGTATTAAGATTATAAAACAAATATGTCTTGATGCCAAGGAAGACATTTTAGTTACTGTGAAAAAGATTTTTTTCTGTATTTCTAGCAAAAACTTTCTTTTGTTTCTCAGCTGTTTTGCAAAAGCAAAGGAAGTTATTTTGTTTTTCCTGTTTCATTTATTTGTGATTTATGTATATGCTTGATAATAGGATTAGAATGGAATTTGTGAAATTTCTAAGACTGGATGTAGGTGGGATGAGATCTAATATGCCTGTGTCTGAAATATCTATTGAGTCTAAAATACTTATTTTTCATTTTCCACCTTATACTTGATGTATAAAAATTATAAAATAAAGGTTGAGGAAATAATGAACATTTTCCCATGAATGTTTTTAAGCCCTTTACATATATAATGAGAGGCCTTCTCTTTATAAGAGTTTTAGGAATGCTGGTGGCACAGTGCTTAAAAGCACTCAGCTGCTAACCAAAAGTCCAGACGTTCAAATCCACCGGTGGTACTGTGGAGGAAGACGAGGAAGTCATATAGATTTACAGCCTTGGAAGCCCTGTGAAGCGGTTCTATTCTGTGGTTGCTATAGGGTCATTGTGAGTCAGAATCAACTCTGCGACAGTGGAATTAGTTTGAGTTAATGAGTTTATTCTCTTTTATAAACCAGCTCAGCTGATTTGCACTACTAGAGTAGTTTTTCTCAATTGTGAGTAAAATACCATTTAAGTAAGGAAAAAATTCCCATAGACCCTGGAAAACCCATCCAGACATTAAGTGCTGTAGCTCTAATCATGTGGTGCCCATGTGGTGGTAAACAAGAGTGCATACAAGGGCACTGAAATCACAGAGCTGTGGGGGCACAGATGGTCCTCCACATGATCTATCATGAGTAGGTTTTCCTAGATGTCCCTAGACGTAAAATTTTTAGCGTATGATAGAATTCAAGATCCCCAAGGAGCACTGCAAGAATCCTCAGAGATCCAAGGATTCATTGTGAGAAACACTGCTCCAGATGGGATCTTAGGGCTTCTCTGGCCTGGAAATGATGCTATTCTTCCTTTGTTGTTGTTGTTGTTGTTAGGTGCCATCGAGTCAGTACCAACCCATAGCGACCTTGTGCACAGCAGAACACAACACTGCCAGATCCCAGGCCAACCTCACTACTGTTGCCATGCTTGAGTCCATCAATTCTGCCACTTGGCCAATCCATCTCGTTGGGGGTTGTCCTCTTTTTCTCTGACCCTCCACCTTACCAAACATGATATCCTTCTTCAGTGACTGGTCCCTCCTGATAATATGTCTGAAGTATGACAGATGAAGTTTGGCCATCTTGGCCTCCAGTGTGCCTGATATTTCTTTAATTTTTAAAGTAACAGGATCATATGAAAG